GACACGAAACGGGTAAACTTTGGAGAATGCAATATAATAAAGGAAGAATCTATTATTTAGGACATGTATACTGATAATACAGATATGGAGTCGGCATTATACATAGCGAAAAGCACTACTTATCACCAATTGTTGATAAGGAGGAAGAAAAAGGAGAAAACTTTTACAGTAAACTTAAAAAATACATAATTGGAGTAATAACTGTGTATTTGCTTCGATTTTTTTTCTCCTTCTTCTGTCTATTTTTTAATGTGCCTTTAGTAAGTTGTCGTTCCATCGTTTTCGTGATCTTCCTACTGATCGTCTTCCTATTGGGAACCGTCTCTTGCCGTCTTTACTATCCTATTTGTTGTCATTCGGCTTATATGACAATTCCATGTTTCTAACATCCTTTTTGTCCTCTCTGTGTCAGGTCGTGTTTCTCTCGCGTATGTCATTATTGGTCTGGTTTTGTAAATTCTGCCTTTCATTGCTTCGGTTAGTAAACAATAATTTGTGTAATACTTTTTGCAAAAGTTTAAAATTATTAAAAATATCGTGTACGATTTCTATGATTACTATCAAACGTGAACGTTGTTTTTCGACATTAAAATTAATAAAAACATTTTTGAAAAGCACTACTAAAGCTGAGTGCTTGGGTTATACTAAGCTTAGAAAAACATTTCGTAAAAACCCATAAGTATTTTGTATCCCATTGAAGACATCAATAATTTTGCATTGATTAATCAAAACTCTAAGCTTTTTTGTATTTTCAATTTAATTCACTCAAGAGCCGCCGCTGCTTTCATTTTAATTTGAACTCGGCATAAATTTTGGGTACTCTGATGGTGGGGTTCAAGAATGCCTGATGGGTGGTTCCAAGGCGTGTATTAATATAATATAACCAATAAGACACAATTTTAACAGGGTTGGGTGTGGGTCTGTCCAACCGAAGATTAGATGCAGTAAAATAACCATGTGGAGTGAAAGAAAGTAAAGTAAATCTTTTCAAAGAACTATTCATGGTTAAATAGAACTTTTGCATGTTTGTAATTATTGTTATTTACTCAAGATGTGTGCAAAACATAAGTTTGTAAAATATCATAATAAAAAGTATCTCTCTAGTGTGGTTTGTAAGATAACACAATTACTGACTCGAAGTTAAATTTTGATTAGCAGATAAAAAGTATGATTTTTTTGTAAAATATACTACAGAATAACTAAATTTTAATACAAGCAAATTATTACACTATATCGAGGGTATTAATTTAAAAATTTAAATAATATTCGAAATCTATAAATTTGTTTGTGTATTTGAAAGACAAAATATCAAATAAAATTTCTTTTTCATCTATTTTTGGGATACCGTAAAAGATTTTTAAAATTTCAAGTTTTAAGATTTGTCCATTCTTTATTCAGATAACATTTACTAAAAGTATTTTATTTGGTATAAAATAATATATATATATATATATATATATATATATATACGAATCTGTAAGTAGATGACATAAGCTGATAAGTCATGTTTCATCAACTTTTCAGGAGAGCAATTTTAAAGTTTAGCAGGGTTCTAAAATCAGTTATTAAGTTATTCATAGCAAATTTTATATTTAACTATGCAGCTGTTCTTTGACTAACTGAATACAAAATATCAAGCAATAACAATGTTATTTAAATTTATTAATCATTTTTTTTTTGAAGTGATGTGAAAGATATCATGATTTGTCATCTGCCATAGGACTCAAATGACCACATAGCTACCTATATAGAAAAATCATTTCTCATAACTCTTTTTTGTTAATGCTATTTTTTATAGATAAATATTAAACTTAACAGTAATTTTTAAGTAAAAATTAGTTATGTTAAAGGATATATTACAAGTGTTTGTGTAGTTTTGAATTTATTTTCGATTTCTATGTAAAAAATACGTGTGAAGTAATTTAAAAGACCATCTTAATATTAACAACAATTCAGACGTATAGCTTTTATTAAAATAACTATCAAATCAGTATTTATAGGTTGTTTTTTCGAAATTATCCTTGCTAGTTGACACGAGTCACAATTTTTAAAACATAACATTCAAAGAAAAATAAAAAATGTTGAGTAAAACAAGAAAGTAGACACTATCTAAACTTTATCTTCTTCATCTAACTCATCAAATTCATCAAACTCACGAGTGTTTGTATCAGTGGTAATCTTCTTGTAGAACGAATGGAACTGGGGATCAATGAAGCTAAACATTGAGAGAAGATCCTTCTTTTTCTTCGGGTTTATTGGCAAAGGTCCAGCATAGGCATAGCATTTTTACCCCTCAATATACTAAAGCTTTAAAGGGAGAAAATGGGTTGAGATCGTACTTGAAATAAATTCGTCCAAATCTTGAGTGTATTGTAGCCACCTGATTTTCAAAAATTCGACTTTTTGTTTTTTACTGTCAGTTTTCCAATGGACGAGCATACTTTTCAAAAAACTAGAAAATTCCTTAAAGTCAAGTTGTTGCATTTCTATAACTTTAAATTTCTTTCTTAAAAAGTCAAAAGTATGGTCAGAACATAACAAAACATGGTGGTAATGTTAATATTTCGGTTTTGTCCTCCACAGGTGTCTGATTATGTGGTGACATACTCGATATTGTTTGGAAAATCCATAATTTTTTTGAGAGCACACGAGGGTAATTTCATCAGAGCCTCTGCCTGCATCTCTCTCACTCCACATACAGCAATAAAAAGAATCCTGGTCATTTGAACAGGTTCTTATAGCGAGGTTATATATGGATATAAACCTCTTATAATATGCAATATTTGATGATAAGTAACGTACAGGAAGAACCTGTTAGTCAGGACCTACAGGAGATCAAACACCAATAGAAATCTATTTTCATAGTACTTCGCTAGATTTTTATCATGATTTTTCATACCATAACCCTCTTGGGCCTCTTTGTTGTGAGAGTCATGCATATCAGAAACAATTTGGCGATCAGATTTAATGGTTAAATATAAATATATTTTCGTTAAAATAAACTGATCAAATTTGTTGCATGTGTCAATAAATGTTTCTTTAAATTTATTTCCTTTGGCATTAAACTAATTTCTAAAAACAACATAGCATGCTAACTTAGTGAGACCATTTTCATTTCTGTGCTCACAGTATTCCTTATACATAATCTGTACATTAAAATTATTAAAATCCTTTTTTAGAGGAGCTATCTCGCCTAGCATAATGGCTCTCATGTTTATGACTGTATTAATATCTTCAATTTTCTCGCTAGTAGTTTTAAAACTGTTGTGGGTGCTTACCTCGCATACCTCCTTGGATAATTCTAGATAAAGAAGCTTTCACTTTTTGAATAATGACATCCACCTTGCCTCTACTTAAACCAAAAATACCGATGAACATAGTTTTGCATATTTCTGTTGTAGTTCCATCATCTAAAGTAACATAGTCACCAGTAACATAACAGTCACCAGCCGATCATGAGTAACTCTGGATTCACATTTATCTTTCTTTTTCCGACTTCCGCTGGTGTAGAAATTCTAATTCTGTCAGCTAACACTTGGTCTTTTGCACAAACTGGTAGTTTGTAAAAATCATTAAATATTTTTCTTTGGTTTTCTGATTTAATCTTCTCATCACACTTTCTCCTTATGCAGCACTTTTCAACATGTTGGAAAAATTCTAGATGAAAACAATTTGCCTTTCCTATTTTTATAGTCCAATTCTTGATTTTTTTTTAAACTTTTCATTTTCTCTTTTTCTTATACCTTTTATTCTTTTTGCACATTTACGGTGTTTAACTGCTTCTATAGGATTTTCAGCGTTTTCGTTGACATCAAGACAGAAATCATACTAACCTCAAAATTAAAAGTGAAACTGGAACAAACCATGAAGGTTTGTATACTGTTGAATACAAAGCACGTGGTGTTCGTGTGTATTAAGGTATATAAAAAATGCTTATTAAAAGTTTAAAATTTTATTTTAAAGAAGATTCTTTTCGGAATTGAATCATTCCATCATCAGTTTACTAAAAGAGAGAGTAAAAATACCAATATTAAAAAGTAAGTAAGTTTAAAACTTAAATATATAAAAAGAACACGTTGGTTTTTTACTACTTACATAAAAAGTTGTTAAAAACATTTTATTTGCCACACAAAAATATTGGAAGGACATCCGTATTAAAAACAATCCTCATGGTATTTATAAAGGTAAATGCAATAGACTGTTAACTTGTTGATTAATAAAAACTGAAAATGGGGGCATCTTACATGACCCCCTGTAGCTGGTGCGGTTTTATCGACATTACCTCTGATCTCCAGCCAGATCATGAGTATGAATGACTAAATTTGTTACCGCGCAGTGAACACAGATTTCTGCACAGTATCTTGCGTATAAACAGACATGCATTGTTTACTACATTATTACTAATCCGCAAAAGTGCGGATTAGTAATAATGCAGTAAATATTAAAATTAAAAATAGAATAATTAAATTAAAATTTCCGGTAGAAATATTTTTATTTTATTATTTACATGAATAAATAGTAGTATCGGAATTGCCAACAAATCACCCTTTTTAATGATAATAAAAACATAAATGATCGAATAATATGTTCATAAAAAACACAGCTGTTCATATTAATTGTTCTAACTAAACTAAAAAATGCGATTTATAGACCAAGAAAGTTTAGTTTATTTATATTTATTTTTCGGACCGGCATTTATGAAATATTGGCACAAAAACTGTCGATTTTCTTCTGTATAAAAGAATAATTTTAGGTACTTACATATTAGATGCACTAAACACTGAATTTAATATACTTAACTATTTAATAAAATAAGTAATACTTGAAATCTGCTTCTATTTGAGAAGTGTAAAAAGAACTATTACTTGCTTCTATTTGAGAAGCTGAAAAAGAAGTTTGACTTGCGTGCTTCTATTTGAGAAGGTCTATTAAGAGCTGTAAGTTCTTACAGTTGGGGAGCCGATTCAGAAATGTCCCTGTTATATTATACAGGTCATTCATTAGATCAATTCTGGATTACGGATGCTTTCTATACTCTCAAGCAGCCTCCAGTAACCTAAAAAAGTTAGATAATTTAGTGAATAAATGTCTAAAGATTATCCCTTGGAGCCTTTAAAAGTACACCAATTTTCAAATCTTCAAGTAGAATGTTGTGAAATGTCTTTAGAGCTAAGAAGAAAATATCTCTGTAATAAATTTTTGTGCAAAATTTCATCTAAAAATAGTAGTGTAGTTAATAAAGTTCACAACCTTTATATAATGGATTTAAATAATAAGTACTGGCAGAAAAAAGAATCACTGGTTTTAGGTAAGTCATTATCAAGACTGCTTACAATATAAAGACAAATATTTATAAAAAACGAACTGTTACCGATATACCAAACAAACTTAACTGATGTGGCCTGAAATAGACATACGTTTTTCTAAGAGATTATTCTAATTACCCATGTCGTTTGAGAATTGTGATGTTTAATTCAGACCATAGAAAATGATTTTAAAAATTATCAATCGTATTTACAGATGCATCAAAAAAGACGATAAAAACGTCCTGTGCATTTTGGGACCCTACACGAGACTATTTCGAGGCTTAAAAAACTTCCGAGTGAATTTTCAAGTTATTCAGCTGAACAACTCGCTGTATTAGAAGCATTAAAAATATATTAAAAATAAATTATTTTTATTCTATCCTAAAGGAAGGAAAAATAGTTAAGTTTGTTTGGGTTAAAGCTCATTGTGGGATCATCCACAATGAAAATAGTAGACATACTGGCCAAGGAAGCATTAGATTCCGAATACTGTTGTAAATTATTCATTAGTTCCTGAAGACCTTTATATTATTTCAAAAAATATAATTAGGCAGGAATGGATGAATATAATAGGATCATTCCACCAAGGGACTTTTTTATTAAGGCATTCAGCCAAAAATTCCTACCCAACCATGGTTCTGTAATCTTATAACAAAAAAAGATGCAATCAGAATTATCTGTACAATTCGATTCAATCATTCCCTAGCACCATCTCACTTATTTAAATTAAAAATTGTAAATTCCCCAAACTGCGAATGGGAGAATATGGCACACTAGAACATATGATATTAAATTGTAGATAGTAAAAATAGAATAAAGACCATGTTTTTATGGAAACCAATATGAAAATAAAAATTTTAGTAAAAACCCATCAACCTTTATGGGTTAATAGTTTCTAACAATTTAGAAGTTTATAAGTTGCTGTATCAATACATAAGCAGTTTAAAAATAAATATGAAACAATAATTTATAAAGACCAATGTATACCAAAACTTGTATATAAATGAAAAAAGAAAAAATAATAATAAAAAAATATATATATAAAACAAAATAAAAAAGAAGGCGTATAAAATGAAGAAAAAAGAAAAAGAAGTTTCGAAACTATTTTACGAAAAAAGAGAGCATTTCAACAATAAAAAAATATATATTAGACAATATTAATAAAAAGAAATACAGAAAAAATATTGAAAATATTAAAAAAAAAAATTAAAAAAAAATAAAATAAATAAAAAAAAACACTGCTTGCGGAATTGGATAATACTGGATAAACAACCACTGGGCACTGGATGCATGATGCAAGATGCAATAAATAAATAAATAAAAAATATGATGTTTTGTAAGTGTTTACCAATTGGTATAATGTAGAATTTTTAACGTAGTGATATTGTTTTAAAATATTAATAATGTAAATTTTAAATATTAATAGATTTTATTTTAATCATTGTTAAGAGTCAAAGTCAAACATGATTAGGCGAATGAAACCATAGGTTTCACAGTCAATATTCCAAGCACAACACATATTTGAGAAGGTCAAGACGAAGAAGTGCTTTAAGGGTAGTTGGGTTTGAATAGTTTAAATCTGAAGAACTGACAGACGCAGAAGATACAATACAGCAGAAAGAAGGCATGTCATGCTGATTGTATGTCTTTAAATTAGTGAGATATATTAGTGAGAATAATTTTAATTATTATCGCTTATTTACTAAACAAACTATTATAGAAAATACAATTAATTTTCTAGAGAAGGAGAGGTAGACTTTACTTCTAATAAAAAGATCCAGACAATGGCATAGGATTATTTCAAGCAACATAGCTGTGGTAATATTTTTAAGTACTCTAAATATAAAACATTGGCATAAGTGTTTATAAAATTTACTGTTTATTATTCACAAACCTCTATTATGTTTTCTCGTAATTTTCTGCGTTTGAAAACATTAATTTTTATTATATCTTAATATTTTTCTTGTAATCTAAACAATTGTGATTATATAGGCAACACTGTGTACACACGCACACGCATTCATTCTTCGATCACCTATACGAAAAATATAAGAAAGGAGAACCGATGATCAATACCCCTACGACTATAATCAAAGCGTAAATAAAGCTCGCCTCAGAAAAGTTAACAAGTGTGTTAAATCGTACGGGCCTTGGTGAGAATAATTACGACTCTAGAGGTTTTTTTCTGTTCCGATCGTGGAGAAAACGTCGACTGATTGCCAAGAGATTGAATACAAGACGTGGAGGGAATGTTTGGCGAGAATTTCAGAAAATTGGGAAAATAATGAGTGCTTTAGTTCAGGAAAAATTGAGGATTCGGAACAGGAGTAGCTAGCAGAAACTGCAGAAATCTTCGACGCAATTCTATATATAAAGGAAACTGTAAATAAAGTTTTATATAATACTTTTATTAAAACAGTATCAAACTTTTTATTAAGTTTAAGCTTTAAAACTGATAGATAGTTATATCGATGTTTCACATTAAAAAATTTTGGTATGAGCAACTTACAGAATATATTAGTGTTTTAAAAAATAATTTCTTTTATATAAAATAAATAAATTCAAACTGTATTAAAATATTTTCACTGCATTTATTTATATACGACAGAATTTATCACGATATTTTCTTTCTTCTTTAAGTGCCGTCTCCCAAATATAATCATCACTATCTTTACTTTATCTATTGCTGCTCTGAAGAGTTCTATAGAACTTCATTTAAACCAGTCCCTTAAATTCTTCAACCAGTTGCAGATCATATCGCTGTCCCGTCATTACGTGTCCCAGATATTGTAACTTTCTTATTTTTATTGTGTTTATTATTTCGCATTCTTTGCCCATTTCTCGCAATACTTCCGTGTTAGTTTTCTTCTGTGTCCATGCTATTCGTAAGCATCCTCCTGTAAAACCACATTTCAAAGGACTGTAACTTATTTGTGTGTTCTTGCTTCAATGTCCAGCTTTCAAGTCCATATTGCAGTATCGAAAACACGTAGCGTCTCAGTGCTTTTTACTCTCAGTTCTAATCTAAAATCTTTGTTGCAGAGAATTGTTTTCATTTTTACAAACGCATTTCTTGCTATTTCTAGATATTTGTATTTCTCAACCCTTTCTATCGGTGCATTTCCCAAATGCATGTTTGTTGGTATATTTGTTTTTTTTGTTATTATCATGTATTTGGTCCTTTTTTATATTCATTTTTAGTCCATATTTTTCACAGAAATTGTTTGTTTTGTTTAGCAGTAATTGGAGTTATTCAGCAGAGCTTGCCATAATCACGATGTCATCTTTATGTCTCATGTTGTTAATAGATCTTCCGTTAATTATTATTCCTTCACTATAAAATGGTAATGCTTTATAAAAATGGCTTCACTATATACATTAAATAATAATGGGGACAAAATACATCCCTGCCTAACTCCTCTCCTGATTTCAATTCGAATTAGAATAAACATTTTAACTTCGAACGAAGAGATAATAGTTTATTTGTACATCTTAAATGTGCACTGAAATTGATTCGCTTTAAATCGTTTCTTTAAATATCTGATAAGTTTAGCCGCGTTGGGAATTACGGTTTGATTTCAAACGCGAAAAGAATCTAAGTTTTGTATACAATAAATCTTAAGATCTTATTTAGCCGCTACGGACACGAATGATTTAAAAAATACGTTTTTCCTTAATGTATCTTATTGGATGGGACACGAATCTAACGTAATTCTTTCTACACAATACATCAACCCGATACTAGACTTTGGTGTTATAGTGTCTTCACTTCGGTCTACCAGGATAATTTTTTTTTAATTTTTTTCCAAGGTTTTTCTTTTTTTGTAACATTTTTTTGTGTAAAAAAAACTAACGCCCTCTTAACTCTAATTGTTTGCAGAAGAAAAAAAAATGCATAAAACCTGTTTAATTTTTATTATACGAAAAATCATGTCATATTTTGAGCAAAAGACTCTCTCTTAACTGTTGACTGCAGCTAACAACACACCCACTCTCTTGACTGTTGACGTTCGCTAGCAACAGACGTCCTATCTCTCTGGACTGTTGACTAGCGCTTAGTAACAGTCTCTCTCTCTTTTTCTGATATTTACGTGAAAAATACCGCGAATCCTCTTTTTAATCGTAGAGACAACAAACGCAAATGTGCTGTATCTCTTGATCTTAGTGTAAGTACCGCGAGACACGTGTTGAGAAAACGGTTAAAGACAGCTCCCCCCGTATGAGGAACAACCGCAAGTGAAATCCAATAAATACCGCGAGTGTGTGAAACAGTAGTATTGGTTCATAAACTTGATTTGGCTATTATCTGTATAACCCTTTACTACCTATCCTAATTATTTTGAACCAGCCCTATTTAAACAGTCTTCATACTACACTGAAATTATATTAATAATTTCACATATGTACACCATTTTTTGTATAACACCCTTATCTATTTCACTAATATTACTTCTGGTGGAAGTTAGATTTGTGTTTGTGTAAACATTACATGTGTTAATGTGTAATACTTTATGAGAAAATACGTGAAGATTACTCTTTAAGATGATGGCTGCTGAAAAAGAATTTAATTAAATTAACTTAACTTATTACATTATCGGTTTTATCTTGCACGTTATTCTGAAGGTTTTTATCTATTTTTCCTGGTAAGCCCTTGTGTTAGTAATCGCAGTGAACGCAACATTTTTAGTCCTTGTTACCATATTTCTTCGTTCCATCTTTACGTTCAAGACTACCTTCGCTCTAACCATTC